ATTCGGTTGCGAGTGTGACTTCCGAAGCAATCTTGGCAAGTCTTCGGGGGCCGGTATACCTTTTGAAGATGGCACCCAAGCAGACGATGTGCGCACCCGATGAGTTAGCTCCGAGATTTTCCGGCTTAGCGGGCGACGCTAAACTCTGAGGCCGTTTTGAAGAGCCGCGTGTTCCGAGTCGTGCGTCACTTCCGTTGAGTATAGCGGCTTTCTTTCTTTCTTTTTCTTTCTTTTTTCTTTTCTGAAATTTGTGTTTTTTTTTTCGAGTGTTTAGTGAAGCACTCACTTGACCTTAACACGTAGAGATAGAGAAAGAGAGAAAATGGATATAGGAAAGGTCCACTAGAGTACGTCGAGTTTGCTACCCTACACGTGGCGAAAGGGCAATAGGGAGTAAGAAAAGAAAGATAAGAAGAGACGCATTGCATACGAGACACAATACATTCCAGGGTTTCACAGGTGGTCGCTCAGTGATGTTGCCTTCAAGTGTGGTTGTTTTCGCCGGTATACTGTGAGATCATGCTCCAATGTTCTTCTCGACTAAAGGGCCAATCATATTACAGATAGGCCTATTATTAGACCCCTGCAGATGTCGCAGTTAGTGGTTCTGTGGCGTGCTCGCTGTATTGCTCAGCGTGAAGGCTTCCAAAGCGAAGGAAGGATGTAACCTCTTTAGCCATATCCGCTATATTTTCTCACTCCCCTCGAAGCGCTCACGTCGCTTGATCAGCTGCTTGCTGTGGCGGAAACATTGAATCTTTCTACTGCATTTGTTCCGGAAAAAAAAAAAACCATCCTATTTGGCAAGTATATAAGATAGGCATACTCGTCGCCGCGTTTCTAGCCGCACGAAACACACTTAACGCAGGGCGCGGTCGTAATCGCATTCCGAAGGGAACGAAAAGAGCGGCGGCGGGCGGCGCCAGAGCAGCAGCAGCACCATCCGTGTGAATGGATGGGCGAGAGAGAGAGGCCTGGCTGCTGCTGCTGCCGTGCGCGGCCGGGCAATCGATGAGTGGCTGTGACACGGCCGCACGTGTTTTGGGCTCTGGTGCCATGGAGCCCCGAGGCTCCGCCGGTGCCGCTTTGCTATACCGCTTCTCCCCTTCCTCGATCAGATTAGCAGCTGCCGGGGTCCTCCCCGACGCCGAACGCAAAAGCCGGCGGCGCGTGGCGTTATGTCGCCTGGCAGTTGACAGCGCGCTCGCTTGTTGTCCTCGAGCGCTGCTGCGTCGGGTCGTGAACCGAGGTCGGAGCCGGGGCTGATCTCGCCTCTTCCTCTTCGGAGTCTGATTAACTCACCGACCATGGCCGGAACAGTCTCGTCGCATTTTCGGCTGTTCGTCCGCGCGTTTCGATTGACTGAAGTGTGATCGTCGTTAGCGAGATTCACAAAAAGCGTGGGGTAAAGGATTACAGAGCGGATTTCGGCGTTTCTTGGTTAAATGCGTGCAACGATATGATATATCTCAAGCAGAGACGGATGAGGAAGAAAGACTCTATACGGGAGTAGCGCTGATCCCGCCGTGTCCTTACGTCCGTAGCGCTACCATATCTCTCGAGGTGGAGGAAACGCCACGAACGCTACTACTCGTGGGGGATTGCGGTGCGCGTGACGATCACCGAGGTGCCTGCCACCTGTGTACGCGTATATATCCCTACGCCCGGCTTGTCGCACGCGGTGCGATAGTTCAGACCATGGATCGACGCGGTCTCCACACGCTCGTTGCGCTGTAGCGGATGCTGCGTTTGGCGTTATTTTCGCTCTAACACGTCTCGGCAGGCAGCCCGTTTAATTACGAGCAGGGGCCTCGTGGGACCCTTATCTAGCTACTCTATTTTTGACTCTTCGACTGGCGTAACGGACCTTCGTCTCTGGCGAATGTTTTTTTTTTTTTTTTTTTGCGATTGGGTGGGGGGTTCAGCAATGGAATCCTGAGATACCATGCGCAGCATTTTTATTTCCAAGTATTCTTTTCCCACTGAAAATTAATGGTAGCGCGCTCATTATTATGCAATCTATATACGATTCATCTAACCAACGCCTTTGGAGCAACGCCTATGCCGGTTTGTTTGTAAAAACAACAGCCACCCTCGTTAAGTGTATGTTTGTCATTCGATTATAAAATTATCGGAGCTCCGACGTTCAAATTACTTTGCAACGCCAAGTTCGGCCGCTTCGCGCTCCATGTCATAACTGGCCCACATAGGGAAATTTCGCAAGAAGACGGGCTGCGTCAGAACTAAACCTCGCACGTTTTAGCGCCCGTGTGTTCACTGGTAAGTGACCATGCAGACAGGCTACGACTTGGGGCTACAACTTGCCGTTAAAGCTTTATGGGGCATTGAGCGTTTTTGAATTATTCGTGAATTGGTGCGTAACTACGTCTTCGCTTTAGTCGTATTAGGCAACAGAGACCACGAGACGAGTGAGCTCGCAAGGGCGCGGCCTTAGAGACTCACGCCAGGGTCGACCTTACCGGGACCAGTTTGGCCTGCAGGGGAAGGCTGCCGCCATGAAGGGAGGGAAGGGGGAATACGCGCCTGTAGAGCGGGACGGTGCCGCGCCGTGATCGCGGGCTGGGATAGAGAGTGCGATTGCAGATTGGCTTCTCTGTTGCGCGGCTTCCGGGCATCGATTGTTGCGTACGATAGAGGTGCCGGGAGCACGATTAAACGGAAAAGCAAGGGCAGGGCCGATTAGAAGAACCCGATGAGTCCCTCGCTCTCTTCAAACGTCTTGGCTTGGACTATCACGGATTTGTCGGCGCGGGCTGACTGTCCTGGTCTTACTTGAGCCTCTGTGGCCAACGAGATAGATTCATAAGGAAAAGTAAAAAAAAAACGAAAGAAGTTACCTAAATTATATCTGAGTTATAACCAAAATATTATTTCATCATTCACTTTTAACTTTTTTTTTACTGCTTGAAATGTACAGTTTTGTAAAGTATTGTATTTACACAGCTGAAATACTGGTACAGCGATACCGTAAGCGCAAACTGTTGCCTAAGTTCAACCTTTTTTCTTTTTCGTCCAACAGGCGTCAAACGCAGCGTATACACACGTGTATCATGAGGTGCATATGTAATATGGCGGACAGATAAGCGATGGTGCGACGCAGCGCACAAGATCTGAGAAACGTAACGGAATGCGGCAGAGGTACCATCTGCCGACGAAATCGAGAAGTTCGCGGGTGTACAATGGAATCGGCTCGCACGAGATGGTGTTAATTCGAGATCATTGGGAGACGCCTTCGTTCTGCAGTGGACTAAAGCAGGCTGAGAATGGTGGGGGTGATGACGTAACTATAGAGATGGGGAATTAGTCTAGCACTTCCCTGTACGAAAACGTTGATGTAATTCTCAGCTCCTTGCTACCGAAATACTGGCACTGTCGGCATCTCGGCTTATGCTTGTCGCATACGGAGTTGATGATGACGCGGCACGTTATACGCACTCTGATGGGAAGTGGGTCTATCAGGGCCAAGTGGGGAACGCCGTGCTCACTATGGATAGAGTGTATACAAGTGCGACGCTCGTCGGAAGAAGGATAACGGAGCCGCAACGCCCTGTCGTCGACTGGGTGTTCACAGCTTCCCTCCCAGGTCGACGTCGTCTTGTTGCCGTGTTTAATTAAAGCGGTTCTCACCGTCGCGCTCTCTCTCTCTAATTGCATTTCCGCCACCCCGGCCCCTAGTCTCCGATGGATGACTTTGCTGCTGAAGCGGATCGATGGCTGCTGCCGCCGCAGTTGGGCAGGCTCCGACCCCTATCCGATCGATGCGCAGCAACAGACCCCGACGGCTTTTTTTCCTCGAGGACGCCTGATCCGTCGCCGCCCTCTCCGCTCTCATCAATCCTTTTTATTCATGTTTCGTGGCTCCGAAACTGGCTTCATTCAAATGCATCTCCCCCTTTCCACATCCTTCACTTAGTCCGCCGTCGTTTGTCCGTCAAGTAAAGCGTGGTACGGTGACTCGACAATCACGTCGATGATCACTTGCGCCGCGTTTAGCCGGAACTTGAGCTGGTAATGCGGCGGTGAAGGGGTCATCTTCGCTTCACTTTCGGTCTCGATGCAATTGAAGGCCATTTTGTTGGTGGTAGCGTGGATGAAGGGTGATTTAAGTTAATCGTCTGCTAATTTAACTGCAAGAAATTGGTTCCGAGCAGCGGTCGCGTCATGGATTTTCATTTAAACATTATTCATCGTTAATTCATATCCTAGTCTTCTCTAATTTGTCTTCCGCTCAGTCGCCGAGAGAAACATTTTTTTTTTCTCGGAAAAACGTATAGAGGTCGCCTTGAGACGTTGAGGCAATAGTCCTCTGACCTGATCAGATGGAGTATGACATAACGTATATGTAGCGCTCTTTTATGTATGCGTTCGTGTACAAAGGCCTCGTTAGCAGCTTCGAGTGTGGTCCCGTGTTGACCGAAAATCTGCGGATCACGATGGGCCACTTCAGTCTTCTACAGCCATGCAGATGGATCTTTTTACTCACCGTCAACCACCTGTTGTCAGTCGGCGTTATTGAAAAAAGTCAGTCGGTTATTCTCAGTCACATGGGGCCCCTTTCTTTTCTTTCACGTTTGGAGCAATTAATAACACGCGTTGACAGTGCGCTTTTCATTGTGTGGGTTTCACGTTGCTAGAACGACTGTGGAGCATTAGTCCGACAAACACATTTGGCTTGTGGCTTTTTACGTGCGTGTTCCGAATACTGTAACAGTGGCGACGTATACAAGCAGTAGAAATACGCTCGAGTAATTTCACACGAATCAAATTTAGGCGCTGTCGTATTCCAGCTGCTTCTGCACACGCACGTACGAAAAACTGGCGTTGTAACGTTCAACTCGATTCTCATCACGCGGCGACGTGTGAGTAATATCCACTGGCGAAAAATAAACGCAATAGAACTGTTTGTTGGTAATTGTTATTTATCTCAGGAAGAAAAAAATGTTCACAAGTGGCTTTTTTTTTTTCCTCTTTCCTCGCAGGCGGACTTGTGTGGCCTCAAATGGCGTCGTTTGAGCACCGAACACCCGTCGCCCGGTGGCGTGGAACCACTGTCCGAGCCCGTGCTGTGGTCCTTCGCCAAGTGCCTCGCGGCCGACCTGCTGTGTGTCTGGCGCAGGGTGGCGCGGCCCGAGCACCAGCACCGGCGCGAGCTCTGGCTCTTCTGGTACGGCGAAGAGCCGGACCTGAGCGGCCTCGTCTCGCCGGAGCTGAGCGGTGAGTCCCCTCCTTCGTTTCAAAAGACCTGACGTGTCCTGTACAGCGCGTGGCTTGTAGACTCGGTAGTCGCGCCCCCCTTCCTATGGAGAGAGAGGGAGGGCGTAGCTTCGTGTTACCACTCGCCTTCTCTCTTAGTGGGGAAAGGGTGCTCGGCGCAGAATTTACGCGCCACGCGCTGCGTCGCGTACGTGTGGGCAGGCCTTTATGTAGTGCATAACGCGCTGCGTGTGACGTTTGCGAACGCGAACGGGAGTCGCGGCGCCGCTAGTTCATCGACCGGAAAACGGTGATACTGTTCAGTTCGACGGGCGCATTCAAGGAAAGAATATCGGTTTTAGGGAGCTGGGCTCATCCATGTCATGCGAGTGTAATCCCCTTCAAAGCAAGCTGGTGAACTAATATATTGAGCCCGACGTTTAGACGAGAGACGATATGATAGTAGTGGAAACAAGGGGCGCAGACTCTCAACTGAAGTTTATCTGACAAACGAAATGCTAAAGAAGAAAAAGTTTGGGATTTGGCTCAGTGCAACTTGCCGCGCGCTGTCTCTACGCACCGTCCCGGTCCAGTCGCGCCTTAGGCTCGATATTTTTGACTCCTGCGATAATTCATCGGTGTGGCTTTCGAACTTGTTGAACATAAGAAAAAAACAGGTTTGTAGGTATTTGTACCAATAAAAAAAGCGAGCAGCTAAAACGATAAGACGTGGCAAAGTCGGAAGATGTGGTTCCTATTCTCTATCTTCATGTTTCGCAATATTATGTGTCGTCACTGTGCCACGGTGTCTTAACTGTGTTAGGTTCTGCTTGTGCCTTTTTTAAGCATTTTCTGGCACTTTTTCTTCCTGCTGCTTTTCTTCGATACCTACAACTGGAAATGTCTAGTGCGACATAAACGTAAGGGCCAGGGGCTACAATGTTGTGAAGCGCAGCCTTAAAAATGGCGCATCGAACCAATAGTGCGGTGTTTTCTTTTTGGGGCGCCGGGCGAAGAGTCACTCTCGTGATACCAGCCGTCCACCACGACACGAAAAGGCATCGAACTCGGCCAAGGTCATCGCGCTCTCGGAGGAACGCGACGCGTCTTGCGCCGTGTGTCGAAAGAGAGCCCCACTCCTGCGGCCTGGCGAAACCCGGCTGCAGTGCGCGCGCAAAGCATTCCGCCATCCGCGCGTATACTGTTGAGAAACGGCGGACCGATCCCACCGAAGCCACCACTGTTGCGAAAGACGGCGACGCCGACGCGGTCCCGGAGGCGCCACTGCTTTCAACTCCGCCGGGAGGGTCACCAGCCGTTTGGTAGCGTATGTTTCTCAGCTCGCGACTGCTTCTGCGCCGAGCCGATAAGACGAGCGGACGAGACGACGGTGAGTTAAACAAGGTTTATGTACAGCATATATACAGAGGCGTTACAATTTCGGCACTGGGGCCGACAGAGACTCGAAGAGCCGAGCTCCTCTCTCTAATACATAGGTCAGCCTTTCGCCTAAAACCGCTGACTCACACACATGTCGGCACTCCGACACGGGGACGCCTCTCACATAGGACCGCCGATCGCGACGCGCCGCAGGGCTTCTTTTATTTACACCGGGTCCACCCAAAATGTCCAATCAGAAACGCCGCCGGTCGTCCGGGCAGATTCCGCCAATGGGGGTCGCCGCGCCATGCGTCAGACCACCAGGCACGAGAACGCCGGCTCGCTGTCACGTGCGCCGATGACTCAATGCACGTGGGCGAGAGAGGCGCCGCGCGTGTTCACGCCGTTGAGATGTTCGCGTCGGGCAGACGGCGGGCTGGCCTTGACCCAGATTGCCTTTTTCAGAGGCACGGTCGTTTGACGAGGACTCGCTGGCATAACAGCACCCCCGCCGCCAGACAATGCACCGGAAAGACGAGCTGCTTCCACGGGGCTCGGATGTCAGGTGCGCTCGTTCGCCTGGTCCCTCCAGGTTCGCCTCCAGGGCCATGGGGAGAATACAGCTCCAGACTGGTCCGGGAACACATCCCATTTTTGACGACGGATCCCAGCTCCACTGGCTTGTCGCCACAACTTGCTGACCAGCTTCACTCGTCTCTTCTGACCATCTTCGGGTTCAGCACTTGTCGATGGTTCTGCAACTTGCTAAGAACGGTTCGACAACAGACAACACACGACACAAGCAAGTGCCCTCGGTCACCCGACAGAACACCAGACAAAGTATAGTACAACATATACCTATCTACGTGTCTATCGGAATTTTGTTCCCTCTACATCAAGAGGCACATGTGGGACAAAAGACCCCTAAAATGACAACTCAATTTTTTTTTCCACGTACAACAACGTAACGGATTAGAATACCACATAAAGTTGGCCCCTTGAGATCACTCTGAACGAGAGCGCTCAGCCCAGGTCGTGATGAGGTCAAAATTTTGCCCCGAATCGCCAGCCAGAAACCGAAAGGTTGAGAAGTTACTAGCTGGAACGCACTGCTCAATGCACCTGCATTAGCGTTTACCTTTTCTTTTTTTTTTCCTTTAGCGAACGTCAAAGTTGCGCTGTGGAGCAACATGCCCCACTTCAGTAACTGGCCACTTTTAGGCGACGATACCTATGCGGCACCAAGAGCGGCTCACACTTGCGACGTTGCACAGGGGAACAACGATACGACTTGCTACTGATTGACTCCTCACCGCTTAGCTCGATATCGTGTTCGATCACCGTCGTGTCTCCGGGACGGTCCGACAACACATACCCAAACTCGGAAACAATCTTTCTCAGGTCCTCTTTCTCAGGTCCTCCTTCACTTACGCTAGGCTCTAGGTTTATCTGCTCCCGGATTACTTTCGATCCCCCTTCAATTACCTCACTAGAACTCAAAATTTCTGCTTCCTCTTCCTCTGAAGCCTTCAACAGCTGATTTACGACCGCTTGATGTTGAACATTGGGTTTCATCAAGTTGTAAATTTTGTTCTGCCGCCTTCCTACTTGCACCTCATAATTTGTATCGCAAGGCTTCGATAATACTGTGGCGGGCCCTTCCCAATCAACCTCAAGCTTGTTCCTTTTGGGTGGCTGCCGCCGCATTACCTGATTATCAACTTCAAAAGCGCGCTTCTTCCCCGATTTCTCGTAGTGCTCCTTCGACAGCACTTTTGCCGCGTTTTTCTGGCTTTCCACGAGCGCTTCAATTTGGCTTTCCACTAGCGCTTCAATCGAGAGATCCTCACGCTGCCCTCGAATGAGCGTCTCTCGATCAACTCTCGGCAGCTCGCTCCCACTTTCCGCTACAGGCGAGAGCGTTGCAACCCTCTCGCTCTGACTCAATGGCGCCACGTCGTCTCCCCCAGCGCATACCGCGCCGGCCGCTCCCGCGACGGGCCGCTCGCGTGACTGCTCACATGACTCATGCGGAAAATTTCCTTTCTGGGGTGCCGTCGACCCGCCGACAAGGTCACTTGAGAGTTCACCGCATGGAACCAAGTCAAGCTTCCGCGAAAGCTTTCGCGCTTGCGATCGCGTGGGAGCCATGCACGCTAAGTTGGGGAAGAACGATTTGCCCTGCTCTTTGAGAAGCTGCTCCGAGTTGTTGGAGAAAAGATAAGAAAAACGACCATTCAGCGCGGCAGACACAGCCGCTTCGGTGCAAAGCTTACCGAACGGGCCTTCAATGACAACGGTGGCGATTGGTAAGCGAACACTCTGCACCTCGGCGACTTGCCTGATCCACGCGCATTCTCCTGTGAAGTCATCCGGAGACACCAATGAAGGATGGACAACGTCCATGGTTGCCGCTGAGTCTCTAAGTGCTCGGCACGTTTTCTCATTGACCCTAATTTCTTGGAGATACGGCTCCAACAACCGCATGTTTTTTTCTGATTCTCGGATCGTTGCGAAGGCAAACTTTTCCTGACAGTTTCTCGCGATGTGCCCTTCCTTTTTACAGTTGTAGCAGATTAGCGGCTTCCGTTTGTTTTCCGGTTCTAATGCCTGTGTGGTAGAAACCTCACTCGATTTCTCCGCTTCTGTTTGCCCTTCCCCTACACTGTCCTTCGTAAGAGACGGGTCCTTCTTGAAATTACGGTGCGGAGCGGGTTTCCGTTGATCAGGTTTCTTTGAAAAGCCCTCTTTTCTTTCATCCTTTTCAACGCGCACTGCCCTGCTATGCAACTTTCGGCGAGTATAATACTCCTCAGCTAACTCTGCTGCCTTGTTTAACTGTACTTCACCAAGTTTGTCCTGCAGCCAAAGTTTAACATCCTCCTCGATGCAGCGGTAGAATTGCTCCAATGCAACGCATTCCACCACTTTATCGCGGTCGTCATAAACACCTTCGCCCTTGAGCCATTCGATCAAATCGGCTTTAAGACGAAACGCGAAGTCAACGTGTGACTCATTCCCCTTTTTAGCATACCGGAACCTTTGCCTGAAAGCCTCGGGTGACAACTTATAACGTCTCAAGAGCACTTCCTTAACCTCGTCATAGCTCTCAAACGCTTCCCTCGACAAGCAAGTTATCGCGTCGGACACTTCGCCGGGAAGAAGAGCTAGCAGGTTCCGCGCCCAAAGAGACTGCTCCAAAGCATTTCGCTCACAGACGTGTTCAAACTTGACGAGATACTTCGCCATGTCCTCGCCCGCTACGAACGGTGGCAGTTGATCCCGAATTCTAATACCGCTGACCTGAATCGTCGGAGAAGCTGCGCTAGGCGCCTGCGAACACTGTAGGATTGCCAATTCTATTCGTTTCATCTCGAGGCGCTCCTGTCTCTCGGCCTCCTCGCGACGTTCGCGCCTTTCAGCTTCTTCGCGAGCTTCGCGCCTTTCAGCTTCTTCGCGAGCTTCGCGCCTTTCAGCCTCCTCACGTTCGCGAGCTTCTCGCCTTTCAGCCTCCTCGCGGCGTGCTTTGATCTCCACCCAGGCCTCATCGACTTCCTCAGCCGACACTCCCTCATCCTTCATGATCTCAAGGATCGCTTGCTTTCGTTTCGCACGGCCCAAAGTAATGCCGAGTTCCTCAC